TAGTTTTTTTTTATAAATTTACATAAAAAAATGTATTAAAATTTCTCAGATTTTGAAGAAACCTTAGCAACTCCCTAATAATTTACTAAAATAAAAATTTGAAAATTTGGTCCGAATCTAATCCAAATCATACAGCGAAGACAGTAAAGAGAGTCGAAGTGTCGAACCCAATCCATGTCGTTGCTGCTACTTCCTCAACCTCCCACAGCCCTCTCTCCGGTCACCGCCTCCGCCGCCGCACGCACACCCTTCGCCGCCGTAACACCTCCGCGGCAGAGAACGCTCACTCCGAAACCCGCACTCTCCATCTCTCCGCCAACAGCACCCAATGCAATCCCTCCGAAGAAGGTCCTGGTTCCCATCGGTTTGGGCACCGAAGAGATGGAAGCCGTTATCATGATCCACGTCCTGCGCCGCGCCGGTGCTGACGTCACCGTCGCTTCCGTGGAGCCGCAGCTCCAAGTTGAAGCCGCCGGAGGCACCAAATTGGTCGCCGATACCTCCATTTCCGCATGCTCTGATCAGATTTTTGATCTCGTCGCTTTACCCGTTAGTTCTCTAACCAAAACCGCTATTGATGATGCTGTTACTATATATATATATATATATATATATTTTATTATTATTATTTCTAAACGTCATATTATTAAATGTCATATAAATAAACGTTAAAACTCAATGTAGATACTAATTTAATAAGAGGGCTTAAATTTTGTATTTTTAAAATTATGAAAATAAATATTTTTGTTTTAAAATAAAGAATCAAAATTACATATTAATGAAAATAGAATAAAAAAATACAATTTAATCTGTTTTCTTTTCTCAACTGATAAATATCTAAAAGTGTTTCTTTCATGTAATTTAACTCTATTTTTTTTTTATAGATATATATGTGGTGAGAATGTAGCTTGAAATAAACTTAAAGAAACAAACTCATAATGATAGTTTATTTTCGTTACAAGATAATCTTAAAAGTGATTAAGGTTCCTTGTAATTGATTTTGGTTTTATAAAGAGACATGAGCTTGTATCAGGAACAATATAATTAATTATAACATGTCTTAACCAATTAAAATGAAAAGATGTTAGTTGACATAAGTCTCCACAATTTTTTTAATCAATTAAACACTATGCACAGGATTCTCTTTTCCAAGTTTCTAAAAAAAACTTCTGAAAAAAAATTAATTTGATAGATATTATTCAATTTATCACATTGTGATTCTCAACATGTCACTAGTTTAAGTTGAATTCAACTTAAATTATTAAATTTAAATTTTATAAATAAAAAATATAATTGAGAAGAGGAACTTCACTAAAAAATTTCAATTAAGTTCTCCATAAAAAATTAATTATCAATAAAAAAGGTCAATATTTATTATAACATGGTGAGAAAAAAATTACCACGCCTATTTTAAAATTTTATAAACATATGCATCTTAGACACTTGATTTTAACACTTCTAATTAAAACATCCTTTGTTTACACAGATCAATTAACATTTTTTTTTCACATTTTGTTTATTTATTTTATTCCAAGTCGATTTTTAGGCCTTAAAGATAAATTTTAAAAAACCTTTTGATCAATGAACTTTAGAGGACACACAAAGAGACATAATAGAATCAAGAATAATTAACACTCTAGAAGATTTTATGAAATTACATAAACACTTTCTATTTTTTTTATTCTTACAATAATCTTCTTTATTATTTAAAAAATATTACATTAACACTCTTTAGCCATTTCATTAACACCTTTAATTATTTTTTAAAAAAACGTTACATTATAACTCCTGCACGAAAAATTATAGTAAACATCAGGGAAAAAAACAGAAATATCAATACAATTTCATAAAACTTCAATAAATGATTGTATAATTTACACTAAAAATAAACATATACATGATAGCACTTCAGCATAGGTGAATTATCTTCATCAAAATTGCTTCAAAATCATTCATTGAAATTAATGAAGATACCTATCAAGTGTCATAAGTTCAGTGAAACAACACTCTTATTGGATGACTCGTACAATTTTTTCAAGACAAATGACTCATCCATATATAATTAGTTTAAATAAAGAACTAAAAATACAAGTAAATAAGACTTAGAAAAAAGAAGTAATTTTTTATAGCATAACTGTATACATAACCAGAATTTTAAAATAATATATTAAGAGAAAATTATAAAACAATTAAATATGAAATTAAAGAAAGAAAAAAATCTTTAATTTAAATGAGAAATTTGGAATATAATTAAGAATTTTAACTTTCAAAAATAAATATATATTAAATAATGATAGACGCATATTACAAGAAAAGGAATTACAATGAAAAACATCTTCACATTCAAATGTACAGACGTTAATCTATAATATACGAATTAACTGGTGGTCAATGAAATGAAAATTAATAATTAGTTGTAACAAAAACTCAATTAAAAGTTTAATGCAGGTTAACCAAGAAACAAGTTTACGGTTTACTGTTTACACTTGCAGAACAAAAAGATAATTATTTAGTTCATAACTTAATATATAGTTTTCAGCATAACATGAGACCTATCCTCAAAATGTCAACAGCAGCAGGAATGAAAAGATAGATTATAAATTAAATAGTGTCTTGTCTTTAACAAATGGAAGGAACACGTCCTATCTTATAATATGATGCCTTGTTTGTTCCAACATGCTAGCCCATGGCATACTTCTGAGTCCAGCTCCTAGCAGTTGTCTCATACTTGGACCTGTCTGTCTTATACATATGAGCAATTTCAGGCACCAAGGGATCATCTGGGTTTGGATCCGTCAATAGGGAGCAAATGGAGAGCAACACCTGAAAAAGGAAACGCAAACCTTCCCACCCATTTTAAAAAACAGCAATAGTTCAAGACAAACAGTAACCATACATTGCAATGGTGGGCCATCCAATTTTTCTCAAAGAAAAAGTTTCCCAACAATAAGAACAAATTAAGTAAGAAATGTTCCTTGTATGATTTAATATTACTAGCCAGCCACAACTTATGATTTTGAAGATGCAACAATTGCATACGATTTAGATTATGGCACCCAAACCAATTTTAAGAGGAATCTGCTGATGCCATTGGAATCTAGATTATGGATCAAATTATACAAGCATGCATGCGATCAATATTTTATGGTATAATACAACATTAGTGTACTACACGTATTGTGTGCAATCTAGAGTACCAAAATAGACCCAATATATTTCACAGAACGATAAATGCTATTTTAAACACATTCTACTTTTTCATAGCATACTTATCCATAAGAAATTATGGATTATGGCAGACAACATCATATAGACCACAGGTTTGTAACCTTGTACTACACGATGCTAAAATGTTAAACTTTTGGAATTGGTTACTTGTTATCTATATATTATTTGTCTTCATAGAAATATTCCTCAGTCCTTATATGCATTTTTGCTGTATTTCAAAACTTTCATTCCAACACAAATGATGCTCATTGAAGATTAGTGTTAAAAAGTTTAGTACAGTCATGACCTTAGATATTGTCAAGGCGGGGCTCCATTGCTCCTTTAAGATATCAAGACAAATACTACCATTGCTGTTGATATTTGGGTGAAAAACTTTAGTCCTAAATGCAACCTGCAAGGAAAAAAGGTAGTTGGGCAGAAAAAGAAGGGTTAAAATTTTGAACAAATTGAGCTTTATGTGAATTGGAAGCCATGTCTAGGAAGTAGTAACAGGGTAACACAAAAACAAGTCATTGGAAAGCTCACTTTGTTTTCCTGAAAACAGAAATGAGGTTAACACCTGCTTTCTAAACAAATAATTCATATTTGAATTCTGAAATGTCAAATAGAAAGTGCTATTTCAGATCACTGGACTAGAGAACACTTCTTTAATTCTGTTACTAATTACTCTATTTCAGATCACTGAGGGATGGTATAGCACTTTCTATTTGACATTTTATAGATATTTCAGATCACTGAGGGATAATATATATACTGCTATTTGACATTTTATAGATATTTCAGATCACTGAGGGATGGTATAGCACTTTCTATTTCAGATCACTGAGGGATGGTATAGCACTTTCTATTGGACTGAAAGTGCAAACTTCTTTTGATATTTTATAGATACCATCCCTCAGTGGCAGCGACCACTGTAAATTCATTTGCATACACCACCACTCATGGTGAATTTGGAAGTATAAAGTACGAATTTTATGATTGTAGATGGAAAAATCAAATGATAATATTTTATAAAATAAAAAAACACGTAGATGAAAATCATGAACACCAAACATAAGAATAAACTCTATTTTCTCATTAGAAGTTACTAATTACTCTTTCCTCTCTAAAGTACACCCCACCATATAAAGGATCTGAATTTCTCTGGTGGTCAATGGATTCTCTCAGCCAGGCTAGAATAGGCTCTCTTCTGTTGTATAGATCTTGTGGAACCACCAGCTCCTTAATCATGTCTCTAATACCTCTACCCCCAAGAGCTATTGGTCTATTGGTCTATTGCTGCTCTGACCCCAAAATGTTGGCCTTAAAAGCTAACATTACTCACTATTCCAAACTCCTTCAGTCCCCTCACTACGTAAATCCCCAAACAACATCCAGTACTCCTAGTTGCATTCTCCAAGTGGTTTCTTCAGTGGTGGCTATTCAATCCGAGCACATTCACAGTTTATCATTGCAGAATTCATAATTTAGCTAGCTTTTTAACTTTATAATACTCTGTGTAAGATTTGGTTTTAATGAAGTAGCTCAGTCTCTACAGGTAACTGTTAGAAACTTTAGCAAGTGAAAACAGCGTGTAAGTTGTTTCCCAAATGGGAAATCAATATTTGTTTTCATATAAGCAGAACCATAGAAAAACTAGAGTAGTCCACTACGTATAAAATAATAGCATTTCCATTCGTAAGGACTCAATCCACAAAATGCCACCAGATTATGATTTCGCACATTCATCAGTCATCACCAGAATTCAACATATCACTAGCATAAAAACCTCAATGAAGGCATTTTTGCTACAAACTTACAATATGGATAAGATTAACAATACAGTAAAGGAACGGCAGGTTGGATGATTGAAAAAAAAGCAAAATAAAATATATTTAAAAATAAAAATCCACAGTATCTAATTAACAAATAGAAGGAACAATCTGAAATTCAGGAAAAATAGAAAATTTAACAATATAAACAGCAAAAGTTCAGCATTTTTCAAGCATATAACAATGGAGGAATTGTTGAAATTGTATTGAACAGGACTAGGCAATACCTTGGGTGGCTTGAATGGATAATCAGGAGGAAAATGAATGGTAACTAGAAAAACACCTCCAGCATAAGGGCTATCAGGGGGACCCATTATAGTTGCTTGCCAGTGAAACATATCTTCTGCTACAGGACCTGTGAAGGTGGTAATCACCAGAAAATAACAAAGTTAAGATTCAATTACAAATATAATATCCGAAAATAATGTATAACATGTAACAGACCAAAGATATGTACACTACTGACTCACAACGTACATCTGCTCGTTTTACAAGTACATTTTTGCAACTCAAACATAATAAACATCTAGAAAGAAAATAATACCAGCCAAATATAATCTTAAAAGTAAGAGTTATATTCCAATGGAGTTTTACAACCAAAGACAGAGATAAGCAAAACAGTCTCTACAATCCATGATAGTTGTTACAACTTAGAAATCCATAATTTAGACTTTGGAGAAAATCTCTAATAAAAGAAGGCAATCGAGAGCAGAGAGATTCTAAAGGTCACAACGTGTGAACTTTAAACGTAGGGAGTAGGATTCAGGCTTCATCAGAAAGAACAGAGAGGAGTTAATTCTGAAATAAATGAAGAAATTTGAGACCAATCAATAAAAAAATTAGCAAACAACAAACTTATGAATAGTTAGTCACCAGTACCACACTTAATCATACACCCAGAAAAGTCTCACAAAATATCATATTGACGATAATCTTTTAAAGTAACAACATGGGATGTGAAGCTTGCAACAAATATCTGATCCTACTTCCTAAAAGATTGTAAATTAATGAAATTCACACATGCAAAATCAAGGAGGAAAAAAAACAAGAACGACCTACATGCGTATAAATTGAAAAAAGTGATAGATCGAGCAACATAGGAAGCTTAATTAAAGTTTGGGAGAGAAAAGGGGGGGAAAAGAGAAGAAATTGTACCGGCACTGCAAGAGGTTGGAGGGTCTTTCTGGAGGTCCTTGAGCTCCTTGAGGATCCGCTTGGAAGCCATGGGAGAAGAATCCCTTTGGATCTACGAGGAAGAGGAAGAGGAAGGGTGAGAAAGAGAGAGAAAGCGGTGTTGAAGAAAACAAGGGAGGAAGAGAAACCAAACCAATGCAAGTTGCAGAAATGACTATGTAAGGAAAGAGACATAAATGTATTCTCAGATAATAGAAATTTGAAATCACTATCCCTTTTTACGACTCTTCCGCGGACAAAACAAAACATCCACTCCTCTAATCTAATTCTTTCACTATATCTCCTTCTTACACTAAATTATTTCTCATTTAATCTTTTGTTTTTTTATATTTTTTAGTAGAATCATAGGTAGGATGGTAAAAGGGGTCAGCATCCTAGTCCCTTAACTTATCCCGCCTAACATGCCCTAAATGGTGGGTCGGACGGGTTAATTTTTCTAATTATTTATTATTATTATTATTATTATTATTATTATTATTATTATTATTATTAAATTTAATTAAATTATATCATATTTATTATATGTATAATTTGTACTTTATTATATAGTAAATTTATCATATATTTAATTTATTTTATATATAACTTTGGTTTTATTATACAACAAATTTATTGAAAGAGATATGAATATTATAATTATATATTTATTTTATTATGTAATATTACATAATAAATTAAATTAAATTAAATGTAATTTTATATTTATTTTATTATTTAAATATATTAATTTATGTGAATTTGTTAGATATTAAAAAATATATTAATAATATGCAAACAAAAATTCTCTTCAAATTTTTTAGACTATTTATGTCAACCTAATATTACTTTAAAGTTATAATATAGAAATTAAGAAATATTTTTAATTATATTATTTATTATTCTAACATTTTTATGATTTCTTTTTCTCGATAAGTGTAAAAAGTAAAGGTATAATTAAAAATAATAATAATAAACACTTATGTTAAATTTTAAAAAGATTGATAAATAAAAATAAATAATACATATATCAGTGATGTAATTTATATTGTTATTTAATCACAAAATGTTATATTATATATTTATAGTCATATTGATGATTTTTAATTAGTTGATGATATGAAAATATTTAATTCTTTTAAAGTTTAGATAAAATATCTCATATTATAAATATAATACAGTGCAACTAAAAATCTTTATTTTTGTAATAAATTATTAATAAATTACTCTCAATACATATTTCGGCTTATTACATAAAATATCTTATATTTTACATAATTTAATTTATTTTTAATAATAAATAAATTTAAATATCATTTGGGTGAATAAAATTTTTAATATATAATTACAATACAATAAGCTTATAGATGGAATTTTGTGCAACTGTAAAATATATAGAAGGAAGATTATTATTATTGTTATAGAATAAAAAACAAAATTAGTTAATTTTTCTGTAAGCTAAATTTAACTTTACATAAATTAATTTATATAATTTTTTTGTGTTAGTTTATTTAAAAAAAAATGTTTTTAATTTATGTTTTAGTTAATTTTATCTTATGAGAAATATTTAATTTTCTTTTCTTACTTTATTCTTCTTTTATAAGTATTTTAAAAGAAGATAATCCAAACATACATTAATTGAAGTTTAAAAATTCCATGTTTTGTCCTCTTTGTCTAAAGTAGAAGTCGACAATTAGAAGAATAGAAATGCAGATTAGTTAAACAATCATTTTATTAATTTATGTAATTGTAAATGTGATGATCACCTTGTGTGGATTGGTGGGCTATTTTGCTTTTGCTTCAATTCACTAATGACGTATTTTTATTATTTTTTGAATTTCAGTCTGATAGACAACTATGCCCAAACTACCGTCCAATTTTGTTTATACGTGCGGTGGAAGATGCATCCCACACAATTATTGTTTCTCCAAAAGGATTTTAATAAGTTTAGTGTTTAATTTTCTATTGGAAAAGTTAAGGAAGTGAGAAAACTCGCGCAAGTCGCATGTACGTGTGGTGTGGAATCGTAGTTCCTATATCTATTTTCAGAATGCTACGTGGAAGGGTCCAATAATCAGCCTAAATATTCATTATAAGCTGTGAAATTTCGTAATTATATTAGTGGGGTACCACTTGTGTATTAATTGGACATACCTTGCAAATGGATGTACAATCAGACACACACTAATATATTCTTTTTTATTATTTTAAATATTGAAACTTGGAAATTTACCGGTGATGAAACTTACTAAATAGGAAGTGAGGCTTATAAAATTGTGTGATTTTTAATAAATTTTAGTTAATATAATAACATCTTTTAAAAAAATGTGCTAAAAAATATGACGTTAACATTTCTTTTATATGTATTTAGTTTTTTCATACTTGTTTAGTGTATAATTTTGTAAAATAATTATTTAGTTTTGCCACTTTCTACCTTTTCTTAAATTGATGTTAAAATGATGTATAAAAAATTGATATTAAAATAACAAACGCTTCAAAAGTGCAAAAATTAATGCATAGATTTACTTTAATGAAATGGGAAATCATCATCTTACTTTTGCTTTTTTTTATTTTTTATTTTTTTTATAATCCTTCCTTTCGAGATTTCACTCTCAATTTCACGTTTTGAAAGAGTGGATGTTGTAGGTTTGTACAGGTAACGATTAATACAAAGTAATGTGGTTTTTCAAGCCATGAACCTTTCGTTCAATTTACTATTTATAGACAAAAATTCCCAACAAAATGTTGCTAAACAGCTGCTTAATTGATGGACTAACCTCTATTTTAGAAAAATTTCTAGTAAAAGCATCGATCTTGAGGGGGTTTCTCTTCTGATATCCACGTTAACAGGCAACTTTTGTACATATTTTTTTTAGAGTGTTAATTAGTGGAAAGGAAAAAAAAATAAATGAAAAATAAAGTCAAGAAAAATGGAGAAGAGAGATACAATTGAATAAAAATAAGTCAAAACTAGAATAAAAATTTCATTGTTTGATTTTAAAAAGAAGGATAGAGTGAAGAGACATAGAAAAATAAATAAATTATTTATAAGTAAGTTTTATAATAATAAAAATTAATTTGCGCAATTTATATGTGCTGCAGCATTTTTATAATTGGTAAGAATTTTATATAATCGATTTTAATATCTTCTAGCACCTCTAAAACGCCCCCAAAATATAAGATAAATAAATAAATAACGCTTTTCTGGCAGTTTGAAACTCTTAGGAAGCCGATACCACAAATTGCAGTGTGAAATGCAGTTTTCACAGCTGTTTCCTCGCTCTTTAAAGTGAAAATAAAAATGGGTTGAACTCACACTTTTTTATATTTTAATCTTTCACTTCTTATCAATCAAACTGTCAAATTTTCTTTTATTTTCTCTTCTATTTTTTTTACCTATTTTTTACCCACCAGACACACTCATAACGTTTTGAAGAGAAATTTGGTGAGCACTATTTTAAGATTTCTCCCGGCAAATGTTCAAATGTTCCTCTCATTTAAAGTTGTCACATTAACATATAATATTAAATGTAAAACTGAGAAAAAAAAAGTATAAACATATATAAAATCATATAATGGTTGTAATTGTATTTTACTTGAATGTATGCAATAGTTGCTTTCGGGCACCGTTTTAATTATTTTGCGAACGGTTTTGTTATTTTTATTAGAATTGTATTAATTATTAGCTGTTAGTTACTTGATATGCAAGTATCTGAATGTAAATTTAATTCGGTCGCTAAAAAATTCAAAATTTCTTATTTAGAGATCGAGATATCAACTGATTTTCTAGCGACGACTTATTTTGGTCGCTAAATCGGTCGCTATTTTGATTATTCATAATATGTCGCTAAATAGTGACTGATAAATTTTGGTCGCTAATTTTGGTCGCTATTTTACAATTTTCTAGCAGTGGGTTAGGGTTCCTATAACTTGATGAACATCTTATTTATATGAATTAATGAGTAATTGAGAAATTTTTCTTATGGATGTACCTTAGTATTATTGTAATATTTTTCTGTGTGATTAACCAAATCAATTTTTGCTTGTTAGGCTAAAAAGTACACTTGGGACTATAATTTAAACTCTAGAATCTTATAAAAATATTAAGAATTGATTGAGTTATGCAAATTATAAGTTCAGCCTCCAATCTAGTGCGCAAAATATAAATATTTTTGAAACATTACACAAATTTATAGATTTGATTTATTTAATAAAAAAATTTAATATAATAATATTAAAATTCAATGTTTATCTTAAATTAATGAGCGAAGAAACTCTACTTATTTTTAGAATAATTTTCCATGCTATATGTATATATAACCAAAAGTTTGTAATAATAATTGAATTTAATAAAATTAAATGGACTTAATTACATTTGACAATGAATTGAATTACTAACATTAGTTATATTTATTATATACATACAATCTATCTATTTATCTAGGAGACGTGTCATATAAGAATCAGAATGATCAATCTCAATTCATAATTAAAATAAATAATTTTAATTAAAAGAGTCACTTAAAATTACAAAATCTCTTCCATCATCATTATCACTATCAACACAATTTTACTATTATTATCGATGCCATTATTATAATACTTGAGTTAACATTACGAGTAGTTGTATCTAATAAAACTTAATTAATTATATTTAATAAAAAAAAATATCCATATTAATGATATTTATTACATAGATATTTATGTGACACCCTCTACCTCATTATTAATATACAACAAATGTAACAATAAGATATTACTTTTCTTCTTTTTGGGTAAATAAAATCTTTCATAGTTGACAAATATTTCAAATATAACAAGGTAGAAGATTCACATTCGTAACTCATAAATCATAACTCCAGTGTAAAAATTATAAAAGAAAAGAAGTTAAGATTTTCAATACAATTTAGTATAAAACAAGAAATCATATATATACAAATAATAATAAAGGAAATATAAATTAACTCCAGTAAAGGTGGCAGTGCCTCCT